ATATATATATATATATATATATATATATATATATAGAGGTAGATAGATAGATATACCTAAACCCCTAAACCCCTAAACCCTAAACCCTAAACCCTAAACCCTAAACCCTCGATACCTCTGCGTCCTGGGTGCGTCTCCGCAGCCAGGAGGATTCATAGAATGCCTGCTGCAGCAGCAAACGATCAACAGAGAGAACACCACCATCCTGTCTTTGTATATTATACAGTTGCAGCCTTCTTGCTGCTATATCTCCTGCTGCTGCTGCTGCTGCTGTTGCTGCTGCTGCTGCTGTTGATCGTTGTCCTGCTGCTGCTGCTGGTGCTGCTGCTGCAGACGCGCGAGAAAACCTCCTTCTAGTTCTGCTTCTGTGACTTGCTGCTGCTGCTGCTGCTGCTGCTGTATCTGCTGCTGCTGCTGTTGCTGTTGCTGCTGCTGCTTGTGGTGTTGCTATTGACGGCGTTCCTGCTGTTGCAGCTGCAGCAGCAGCAGCAGCAGCAGCAGCAGCAGCAGCGCCAGGCCCCCCACGCCTCAACGCCCCCCTCGTCAGCAGCTGCTGCTGCTGCTGCTCCTGTGCTGCAGCAGAAGCAGCAGCAACTGCTGCAGCAGCACGAGCGAGAAAGCGGTCCTGGGGGCGGCGACCAATGGACCTCTTAGATGAAGCAGAAGAGAGAGATATCAACACCTGCGTAAACCCTAAACCCTAAACCCTAAACCCTAAACCCTAAACCCTAAACCCTAAACCCTAAAATATATGATAAAAAAAAAAATAAAAAAAAAAGTTTTTTGTTGCTGCATACAGCTGTTTCTACTCTTGACTTCAGTATATCTATTTAGGGTTATTATATATTCTTAGATATTGCTTTCTAGGGTTTAGGGTTTAGGGTTTAGGGTTTAGGGTTTAGGGTTTAGGGTCTCACGTTGCGGCAATCTCTCCTGCCGCAGACGTGCGGCTCCCGCTGATCGAATTGGCGGATCGTTCCTACAAAAAAAAAAAAAAAAA